AAGTGTAATAAAAACCAATTTCGATCATCTGCCATTGGCATGCAATAGCACTTAAACTGATGTAAGAATGCCGAGTCATTAAAGCATTTTTCACATAGTTTTGCTTTCGTCAATTTATATATTTGCGGGATTTAATAAGCTGATGATTTCTGAAAAGCAAGAAAAGTGTATGAAGAAGTTGTGGCGAAGACAAATCATAGAAGAATGTTCAATCAAATGAGCAGTTATTAAAGTATTTATGTGAAGGCAAAGACAAAGATCTTATCCACAGAGAGATCAAGTTAAAGATCTTAACTTAGGCAAAGTTTACTTGCTAGAGCAATATATTTGCAATATCATATCCATAGTCAATCTAATAAATGATATATGATAGTTACGATCCCAAAGTCTCCATTTCACTGTCTTTAATCTTAACTAAATCCAGTTCTTGAATAACTTCTTAAATATACTTTTAAGTATGCAAGAATCATCTATAAATCTATCTGACTTCTATCATATATGCATGTATATTCGCAAGGGTATTCCCACTTCCACACTCGCACACTTTGCCTATAAGGAGTTCATAATTTATTATGCATGTCACTTCATTTAATGGCTTTGTCACATTTACTACAAAGCCAGTTAATTATTGAGAATTTATATTTGAGGATTATTCAGATGAGGTGTAAGTAATTGAACTACTTGTGTTTTGCGATGTCATTCAACTGTTGAGTGGATGGAAATGCAGAGTCAATGCTCTCGCCGCCTCAGTCTCTGTCTCTATCTCTGTCGCTGGTGACATTGAAGGGCCAAGTAACTATGCTGAGATTAACTACGAGAGGCGAACATGTTTTAAGCAGTTTATAGTGCAAACATTAGGCATTAAATGGAAGCAGCCACTGAGTCAGTTTATGGGCAGCAGCAGCTCAGCTCAGCTCAGCTCAGTATCGTATGCAACTAGTTGCCCAAGATCGTTTACCCTGGTACACTTGGAAAAGTAATTTTTTAATGGCACGAATGCTTTTCGTGTGGATAATGAGGTGCAGAAATCTAATTGCTTTGTTGGTACAGCCAAGAACAGTCAAGAGACGAGAGCAGACGCGAGCCGAGAGTCGAGAGTCGAGAGTCCACACTCGGTAGACGGGAGGGACACATTCGTGCAGCCCTTTTATTGAAAAATGTATTCAACTTGGCACGACAGTTGTGGCCACATTGCGCTCCAATCTCATGAGATCATTGCGAGCAGCCCACCATGGACTATATCAGACACTCGTCCATCAATGCCTGCTGCCTCGTCTGGCACTGGGCACATGCTAACCAGGGCATGCTCTTGCATACGCTAAATGCTGTCAGTTTCGCTCAGTGTAATGATGTCTCTCTTGGGGCTGTAGTAAAAGATTTAAATGCCATCTAAAAGAGCAAACAGCTCCCTGTTAAAACTATTTTAATTGTTTGCTACAATAAAACCAAGAAATCATTACACACGGAGAAATTTTTGCGCACAATAAGCATACACTGTGACATACCCTAGAATTTGGCTGTGTTATCAGGCCGTAAGATATAAATTTGATTTAATTATTAATGTAAATATTATTTTATTATTAAAAAAGTTAGGTATCCTATATCCTGATTTATATTATTATCAATATCATTTTTTTTTTTTTATATCAATAATTTTTTGAAATTTATTCTATATATTTATTTATTATTTTTATAAAAATTCAAAAATACTGAATATTTTATTTTTTATTATTTTATTATTAATACAAATTTTACTGTTTTTTTACATAATTTTCAATTTAATTAATGTTAATTGATTTAATAAATTAAATTTCCTGAATAAAAATAAATTAATATACATATATATTAAATGAATTTAATAGATTAAAATTACTAAATTTTATATATAAAAATTTTTTAAAATTATTTTTTTATTTTTAAATTTTATATATTTATTTGTTATTATTATTATTATTATTATTTTTATTTTTAATTATTATTTTTTAATTATATATATTTTATTGTTATTATTATTATTATTTTAATTTTAATTATTTTGTATATAAAGTCTTTCTACAATTTAAAATTAGTTTAGAATATGTAATTAAAACGTCCCATAGAAATGCAGGAGAGCGCAGCTTCCAGGGCCTTTTCCACTGCTCAGTTCCTTGAGCTGCCACCAGGCAAAGCTATAGAAAGTTCTGAATGTGATTCTTATATAGGCATCCCTGCTAGGTACGTAGCGCATGCGCAATTAAGAACTATTTACTTTTCTAAAATAACGAAGCACGCAGCAGCAGCAGCAGCCGCAGCAGCAACAACTGTAAATGAAAATTGAAGAGGTTCTTGGAACGCGAACGCCCACTTGAATTTAGCCAAAATAATGTGCACTCTGTGGCAACATTATCATTATTGGCGACACCATGTGGCAAGGCAAGGCAAGGCAAGGCAAGGCAGTTGCTGCTGCAGTCGCGATTCACTTTAAGATGTGGGTTGGACGTTCCACTCATTGCCATGGCGATGCTGTTGGCCATTATCCAGCGGCCAGCATTCAGATGCGCACCTGCTTCACGATATATATATATATATATATATATATATATATATATATATATATTTGGTGTGTGTGTGTGTGTACAAGTGGAGCTGCAGCCGATGGTGTGCATCATGCAAATTAATGCACCCTCGGAGCCAACAGGAAACAGGCTTCGTGCAGATTTGTATCTTTATCTGCTGGTGGAGCAAGCAGCACACATTCAAGCAGGTAACTGCTGTCTGGCTCTGTGTCCTCGCTCCCTCGCACACAGTTAGGTGCATTCATCTCAATTAATTCACTTACACAGCAAAAACAACGGCAGCAGCAGCAGCAGCAGCAGTCCAACAACAACTGTTTCTATATAGCTATATAGTTAAGGCCTCTCAAGAATTCCGCAGCGAGCAAGCACTCGGCTTGAAAGGTCGTCAGCGTCTTTCAAATTAGAAAATTAGGAAAGTTTTTAATTAGGCCCAACATGCAAGCACCATTGCAAAAGAATGTACTTCAGATGGGCTCTTCAGATTTGGGCGTTCTCTCTCTCTCTCTCTCTCCCTCTTCGACAAACAATGCAGATTGACACGCATCATTATGAAAATATCGAGAGATAAAATGCCAAACAAGCAAACGAGCTTAATAGGTGACAATTTAGCAGTCATTACAGCAGTCGCTCCACTCTGTTCCCAGCATTATGGTGCATCCGAAACAGCTGGGAAACACGCTTTTACCTCAGCTTCTTCTGGTTCTTTCTCTGCTTAACTGTAAGTCTCACTCAGGGCAATTACTTTAAAGTTGTCTTTGAATATTTACGCGGATTTCACTCGCAGATCATCTGCAATTTGGCTTAGCTAACAAATCGTTATCTAGCCATGAAATACGGGAAAACTAGCTGATCTTAACTCTGAATGTGAAGCAAAGTGTTTTCTATCCATTCAGGTAGCCAAGCTATTGATATGTTGAATTAGGTGAACTATGGATTATAGTTTATTAGGGTCTTATAAAAATATATTTGTAGGCAGAAGAAGGTGCGACAAAGACCATAAAATATCAAAGAGAGAACAATATTATGATAATAATAAGTGTAATAATATGTGTATTAAATATAACCGTTTGTCCATTTGTCCACCTCTCCATTTGTTCATCTGTCCGTTTAATTCGAATACCACAAAAGGTTACCTGCCCTAGAGTATCTAATAGTCGTACATTCCCAACGAGATCACCTGCTTTCTCTTGGGCATGGTCAGTATCAATATGTATATTTCGAATTATAATTCTCAATGTTGTGAAACTCATAATAATTCCCTGTTTGCCAAGCCCCCAGTGGGCGTGGCCAAGAAATCTTTAAGAGCAGCGGTCACGCGAGCTTGTACATAAAATTTCGTTGGCTTGATTAACGACGAAATAATTTGCATATGGACAGCTTGATATGCGGAAGTGATAAAATGCTTCAGGAAAGGAAAAAGTTGATCATCTGATTTTAATTATTACAAATTTGGTATTCCAAACTTTCCAGTGGACTAAATGCGATCTGAGCTGATCTAACGATTGTTCCGCCTTCTTATTTCTATATACATTTATTTTATTTCTATTAACTGCAATTGCATATATTGAAATTTTCCATCTCTTTCTTCTTTCTCTGAACTCGATCTTTATTCTCCATGGGATTGCGAATTCATTTCGCTTTCAAGCAGTCATAATTTTATCTTTTCGCTACCCGTAGCTCCGTTTCAGATCTCAGTAAACTCATCCCAAGGTTAGGCTTAATGGCCGCAGTTAATCGTCTACCAAAATATTTGCAATTTTTCAAATTGTCTAGCCAATCGTTCCATATAATCTTCAAGATCTCAGAGCGGTCTTTATTTTGTTTTCTGTTTTGATTTAGTTAAGGTCCATTATTCATTCATTCAGTCCATTCAGTCTGGCTGCTCGAAGTTGCTTTGTCATCGGTGTAGGTCACGAAATCAAGAACAACTCGTAAGTCGGATGTTGATTCTGATCGAAAGTCTGGGCATCATAATGAGATTTTATGCTTGCAGCATTAGAAAGCTTCAATTAGCGCAGGTGTTTCCAAAGAGAGCCATACAAATACATATTACCTTGTTACAATCGAAACTGTGCAAAATTCGATTCTTTCACACATCTTTTGTCGCTCGTCATTCCAATTAAATCAAGAAATCGTTTCTATTATTTGCAGTAGAAGTAATCCGATGACAAATAGAATTCATTGAAATGTTTTTACTTTTATTTATTTTCAAGGCAGTTTTTATTTAAATTAAATTAAATGCATATATCGGCAATAATACATGTTCTATATATTAAATATATATCAGAAAATTAAAATAAATATATTATGTATATATCAATAAATAATATGTGTTGTTTAAAAAAGTTCTGCATTTGCCTAAGTTAGTAAATATAAATTAAATAAAGTTAGTTACAATTTGTAGATGATTTTTTGTTCTTTTCCAAAGTCACGAGGGTAGTTCAATGGAGTTGTCGAACTACCTTCACAAGTCTGGAAAAGATGCGTAGAGTACATAGTACGTAAAGTGGGCTCAAAATATATAAATAGACGAACTGAAATATATTAGTATCCATTAACCAACAAACAATCTGCGACATTTCTATTTATATTCTACACCCAAATCGAGCAATGACTAGACAAGACCAATTTCCAAGGCTGCCAAGTATCAAATATACATATATATATATATAGAGAGAATTATATATGTATGTGTAACTCGCTCTCGTCGTGCGCACCTGCTGAAATTAACTTGTTCGATCTGAGTTCGAAGCTTAGAAAAAGTATTTAACCTAATACGAGTGCTGGTAGGCCTGAAGCTTCTGCCGGCGCTGATAGCAGAAGGTCCAAATGCCAATTATAGCCAATTGGGTGAGCAGGAAGAATGTGGCAGCTGTAATGAGTCCTAAAGAAGAAGAAGAAGAAAAAAGTGAAGATGTGTTTAATAATATAAATAAAATATGAAAAAGTAAACATATTTATATAGTAGAACTATGAATTAACAATAATAAAAGTTTTCCTACATATAAGTTGATTTATGTGTAGATATATATCATCTTTCAGTTAAAGAATCATATTGAGCTTTCATTTCATAGATGATATATAATATTAATTACTAAGAAGTCTTAATCTACTAAGAGAGCAGGAGTAAATCCCAATCGAACTTTTGGTCTACCAATCTAATCCCTTGCAAAACCGATATTATAGTACTTTCTACTGCGTTTCTCATAGATCAAATATATACAACTGATACGAAACTAAACTTTTAAATTCCTTATAAATATCAAAACTTTTTTATTTACTATATCATTAATCAACTTACCAAATGCATTGACACAGAAGCCGCGTCCCGGATTTGTAATTGTGAATTCCGTTTCATTGTTCTCCGAATATCCGCCAATATTCGACTTGCGGCTCTGTTGCTCCTCGAAGCCGAACTTGTCAGTGATTTGAATGGACTGAACCAATAGCATATCCGAGGGTGTCTTAACCTCGCGCTTCTGACGCATTTCGAAAGTGGCTGGAAATATAAAAGCAAATCTCAGAAAACTTCTCTTGCAGAGCATATAGTCATATAGTCTTACCTGTTTCGTTCAGCGAACGACGCTTGCGGCCATAGGAGAGCAGGGATCTGTACTCGCCGCTGGTGTCCTCCTGGTCGCACTGGACCGGCTCGCAGCTGGGCATGCAGGGCGTGACCAGGGCACGGAATTGGACAACCTCGCTGGATGGGAACTTGAAGGCGTCAAAGTTGGACAACAGGATCTTGGTGGAGCCGGGACTCTTGTATATGGGGCCCATGATGAAGTGATCGGTGGGACAGCCATTCGAGTCGATCAGCGTGATCTCCGAGTTGTCAACGCCATCCAAGGCGACCAGCTCGCGCACGAAGATCTCATAGGGACTCTGCTCGTCCATGATCTGGAATTTGAGTGCCAGCGGATCACCCACCTCGGCGGAGCGCATCATATCGGAGCCGTCGCGCGAGGTAATGCGCATGATCACATTGGGCGAGTCGACAATCACCTCCTCCGACAGAGCGGGCGTCAGGTCGCCGCGCACATCCAGATTGACGCCGTTGGTCACCGACTTGTTGGTCAGATCGTATTGGCAGGCCAAGGCCAGGCCCAGATCGGATGAGGTGACGATCATGTCATGATGCTGGATGATAATGTCGTTCACATAGCGCCCGCTCTGGCTCTGGCGCACATTGCACTCCAGATCATGATAGTTCATGCGCAGCTCAAAGTCCAGGGCGCTCCTCACGTCCACGGCGCACGATCTGGGCGAGCCCTTGGCGTAGACCTTGCCGCTGAACAGCTTCGAGGTGCGTATCCTGGCCAGCATATCGCCGCCTCCGCACTCGATCGTCACATTGTAGCAGGAGGCCAGCTCATAGGTCGCCGCCTCAGGCACCTCTAGGTAGGGATCCTGCACGTCGGAGAGCGTGGCGCGGCTGTGATGCGAGAGGCGACAGACCATGTCGCCGGTGTCATTGTAGTCGTACGAGTGGCATCTACGGAGGCGAGAAGAAATGATTGAATATAAATTTATATATATGCATTGTACAATATGATATGCGTGCTTACCTGTAGGGCGAATTGAGACACAGCTCACGGCACTCGTCCACGCTGCTCACCTCCTGGTAGACCGAGTCAACCGTCTTCAGAATGCGTCCATTCAGCCGCTTGAACTCGCACAGCTTGTTCGGCTCCTCGACGCAGTGGTTCTCCAGGTAGTCAGTGCCGTCCATGACCTGGAAGGCATTCGTGCCAGCCAAAGTCGAACGATCCATTTCGCTCAGCTCGCAGACGCCAGTGGCTCTCTTGTAGTTGGCAGATCTGTGGGGAGTTGCAGAAAGTGAATGCATTGATATTCATATTATGTTCATAGGCATATTCATATTTATTTCTATTCTATTCTATATCAATATAAAATAATGAATATTGATATGAATATGTTTATGAATAACAATATTAATATTAATGCATATTTATATTCACATTCATATTTATATTATATATTCATTCATTCATAGTATATATGCATTCATATTTATATTCACATATATGTACATACATATGTTTGCATTGTTATTCACATTCACATATATTCACAATCATACCCATATTCATATTAATATCTATATTATATTCATATTTGTATTTATATATTTATTTAAATTTGTATATATACTCATATTCATTTTGATATATGAATATCAAATTTGTGTTCATCTTTACATTCATGTTCATATTCGCACGTAATATTCATGATTATTTAAATATTTAAATTTTAACTCATATTTACATTCATTTTTATTCACATGATTATTCATACATTTGTGAATTCCTTTTTATTATTATACGAATATCCCCCAATATTCGAGTACTCATGTCTATATTCGTTTTCATTCACATGCATATTCATGCTAATATTCACATTCACTTTCATATTTATATACAGATTCATAATCAGATTCCAATGTCTGTTCATTCACATTCACATATTGATTCATATTCATATTCATATTAATACTCATACTCCCATTCACATTCATAATTAATGTAACACCCATAATTACGACTCTTTAAGCGCACCTTGCGGCCGGCCAGCTGAACCGAATCAGCGAGAGGTCAACTCTCTTGACTTGAAAGTGTTATTACCTGCATGTAAATTCCGTTTCGCTCAGGCAGAGCTCGGAGCACTCCCGTCGCGATGCCACCGCGAGGCTGCGCTTAACTTCCGACTTCAGCTTGTAGTTTTGCACGCGGTCCACGAACCAGGCCCGCGAGCAGGGCTTTGCGGCGAGGCAAGACTTCTGTGCGTAGATTGTGAAAACCGGAAACTGCGATTTGGTTAAGGCGCCTGCAACGAACGAAGAAGAAGAAGAGGAGGAGGGAAGCAAATTTAATAAACCCATTTCAATGTTTTCGATGTAAATCCACAAATATTTTGCGAATTAGGATTTAAAATGTTTGTTTTTTTTTTGTCTTTCTCCCACCTGGCAACTGATCAGCGTGTGCTGAGAATAGCACGCAGAGGCCCGTCTCGTAGTTAACGGACTGACAGGTGTCATTCTTCAGGCAGGTGGCCAGACAGTCCGTCAGCATTAGAGTGCCGGGCAGCGAGTCCAAGAGCCTGCCAGGTGCTGAGAATACATAGCTAAAGCAAGAGAAGAGAGAGAGAAGAAAGATTACACAGTTATAAATAGCAAATCGTCGACTTATGACAGCGCCTAATTAAAATATCAAACATAATCACAGGCTTTAGCTTGCTTCCTCTTCAACCTACCCGGTGACAATTTCAAAGCCAACTGCATCCGATTCGCAGCTCACATTATCCAAGTAGATCTCATTCGAGTCCTTTGTGTCCAGATCTGCCGCAGCCGAGAGATCAAATTGAGCATTACGATTCTCCGTCTCGATGGCCGGCACCACATCCACTGTGGCCGGAATCTCTGTGGTTGTCTCGCCCAGCGACGAATCAGTGACCAGCAAAGTCGTCTGCTCGCCGAGATCGCTTAGCTGATCAGAGCTGTCTGTGGTCGCCGTCTCCTGCGTCTGCGCCTGAGTCAGGCACAGCGCTAAGACGCCCAGCGCAACGAATTGCAAAATACTGTGGCTAAATACTCCATAAGCCATTATGACTATTCAAATGGAGGGCTGAAAGCATTCATAAATAAAACGTGAATGTCAGTCAAGCAGTAATAAAAAGAAAATATATATCAATATATATAGAGAAGAAATAAACGAGTCTTGTACGAGGCATGTATTCAGAGATGTTCGACTAGCAAATACCACGCAATAAAAGCTTGAATTGATTTTTCAATTTTGATTCGTGAATCAGTGAGTGCTAGTCAGTGAATAAAAATGCAAAATATATGAATATACATACATATATATAAGATATAAGAAATATACATATATATTAAGCGAGTGCTCGACTAGCAGTTAGAGTAATGAATGTTCAATTTTTCAATTTGAATACAATTAGTGAATGTCAGTTATGCATCGATTGAGTAACTTCAGCACTTGGGAAAACTCTCTCATGAGAACTTGCATATGGAAAGTCGATTCTCTGAATAAATGATCTATTCAGCCGTTAATTACCTTCTGCCCACTGAATGACAGCTACGAATGCTAAATATGATTATCAATCATTGCCTATGGCTTCATATACGTCATGCCACGCCCACTAGTTTTTAGGGTTCACAGCAAAACTAGAGCAAAAGCTGACCTCCATTAGCGAACGCGCGCTCTAGCTGCTTGAGAATTCTATCCAAAAAAAGTTTGCTTGAAAGCTTTTCAAATTACTTTCTATAGAGAGTGTGTTTCGTTTGTTTCGCCTCACTCCCGAGTTGGGTTTTCATCATTTAACGATTTCCTAACAAGTCAGAACAATGCTTTCAGTTAAATTGGCTTCGCCCATAATTGAAAGATTATAAGCACTTGCAATCGTTTCTGATACACATCAATTTATTTGCGAACGCGCAGCGAGCCCATATAATTAATATGAGATGCCCACTCTAGAGTGGACCCTAGTGCAGGCTGTGGCGTCTGGCTGGATATTTCGTAACAATGGCGCACGTAGTGACCCCATGGACCATTGAGTACGAGGAAAGTCAATTACCTCTTTGGGGAGTGAGTGACCTTTTATGCCAGTTCTGGTTCGCTAACTCAAGCTGGCTTTAAGCCGAGCTCGGGCTCGCTCGCTTCACAGTTGCCGACTTAATGGCCAACAACAAGAACATTTATGCTTTCATAGTTGCGAAGACGCGACGCCAGATGTTAATAAAAAGGTTGTGAACTCTACGGAGTAAGCAAGAGATCGGAGATCTACTGGAAATGGTATGTTAATACACAAATCATATACTATGTATATAAGAAAGGGCTTGGGCTAATGCTGACATTTTGGAAATCGATCTGTGTAACGTTATCTCACATTTCTGGGCCAACTTCTCTCGGCTCGACGTGCGCTGGGTTTGTATTAGAGCGCATTTAGTTAAGAGCATGACAATAGACAGCAGACCAAGTCCAAGACTGGCGGCGTCGGCTTTTCGCCCAATTTCACTTTCCCGAAAGTCGCCCCAAGGCATAACAAATTTGAAAGACGCTTTGATTTTCGATAATGCTGCATACCAGGCCACAAATAAGATCTCGTGAAACGCGACTGCGTGCCGGGAATAATCGCATAAAGAAATAAGCCACTAAACAAACAGACTTATATACATACATACATATATAGATGGTTGTATATGTGTACGGGCCAACTCATGCACATACATATGCATTAGTTGAGTTTTCCTTTTGGCTGCTCTTAGGCGTCTCATTTCCAATTAGCAGAGTTTTCCAAGCGCAACGACTGGCCAGCGTCTAGTTAGCAACGGCTGTGGCTATGGCTGTGGCAATGTTCTTCATCTCGCATACGATTCACCACTAAAAATTGAACTTGCGGGTCGAAAAACTTGTTATTCTAACAGTGAATTTTACTGGATTGATCATGTGTGTGCGTACACACACACACACACCACACAGCACACACACACACACACACACAGACATGGCGTGCTTGCTGCAAAGCCAAACATGAAAATTGCATGCTGCTGCGTCTGTTGTTGCTGCAACAAAAGCTCCATCAGCCCCATGGCCAGAAAGCCGTGCACCCTAATCTTCATTGGCAACAATGTCGACGCAACTGGAAGCAACGGTATTTGATATACACCGACACACACACACACACCTACATACCTACCTGGCTGGCTGGCTGGCTGACTGGCTAGCTACCTGCCTACACCAATAACAACAATTTTCACCAAAAATCTAAACCGGCTTTCTTCTTTAAAATCCCATTTCCTCTGCAGTTAAATTTAATTCAATGCGTTTGCTTAGTTAGTTTATTTCTCCTCCATTCTTGCTTTTTCTATTTGGATCTCCAAAGTCCCACTTTTGTATATCCAAACATTATAATTGGGCACAATAAAAACAAACCATATAAACTGAACTGTATCGCCGAGTGAAGTCTGAATAGATATGCAAATAGCCTTTTATTGCACACATTAAACTTCAGTCGAGCAACGAGAGAGCGAGAGACCGAGAGAGTGGGGGAGAGAGAGAGACAGATACGAATTGGTATGCTGAGATTCACTTGTTCAATTTCACCAACACTTAAATACGTGGTCATCTGTCTCTGGCGTCGCTGCTTCTTCTTCATTTCGAATGCTTAGAAAACCCACACAGTAATGAGGTCAATTTGTATACCCTATGGACAGTCGTGATGTGTGGAAGCAGGGGTATATATTCGGTTATGCATGACATCTACAGAGCTAAGCTCATATTTTATTATCATTATTGTTATAGATTTTTATTACTATCCCACTCTATTTCTTTTCTATTACTACTTCCTGTCTATAATCCATTTCACTGTTATACCATATTCATACACAATCTGTTTTCTGCTTTCCCAAATTTCCCACATTAAAATTTAACTAATTAGAAGTTATTAAATTTCCAAACATTAAGTTTCGCACACGTTTCTTATGACACATCGCATAATATGACTGCGAGAAATCTAATTAGAGAATGCTAAGCTAATTGGATGTATGTAACATACTTAACGGTAATATGCCCTTCGGGTTTCTTCAGATATTTAATAATATATTATCAGAAGTTTTCTTTTGAAGTCGAGCGAAAATTATATTTAATGAATACAGGGTATTCTTTGTCAGTAGTAATTGATTCTGACTGGGAAATACCCTCGAAAGAGACTTGGCTATAGGAAAAAGTCATGTGAATGTATTGCTACTCTCTCAAGTAGAATACAGAAAATTGCAAATGAGAAATGCTTTACACACATATACATATATGTAATCAACTACTCAAGCACCCCTAGCTAAATTCCCCATCTAACCGAAACTAACTAAACATTTGCACAACTTTATAATTTAGCCCATTTACCCACTTCAATGCGCTAACAAATAGACTTTACGGAATGTTTAGTAAGGTGCGTGATGTCATTTAACAGTTCAAGCCACAATCCAAAATCAATATAGCCAAAAGAAGAAAAAAAAAACACACACACAAGAAAAGAAATGAAAAAGAAAAAAAATAAACCCGTTGAAAGAACTTTCTCTCTATTCTGCATGCTGCGAGGTCGGCCAATTTCATTGATTCAACGAGCGACGAGCGGCCTGGCCCGACTCGATTATTTGTGTCATGCAGTAGTCGAAATTTTCAATAGGCGTTTATCGCAGCGAATCTTGGATTCGTAACGGTGCATATACCACTCATACGCTTTGTATATACATGGCAATACATGTAAGGCATTTGACTCCATCTGCCGATTTGATAATCTAAAGCTTCTTAACAACATCTAACTGGATGTTGACTGCATGCGTGAGTGTATGTGTGCGTGTGCGTTTGTCATACATAGGTGTATTTGACACACTTATTAGCTGGTCTGTTTCCTTAGGTGTTAGCAGTCAATTATATAGCTAATTTATGATCGAATTGTGTGCCAAGAAATTGGCCAGCCTAAAACTCCGTTAAGTTTACCCAGATTTGTTCACCTTCTAACGAAATTTCAATTCGTTTTTGTTTTGTGTGCTCAGCAAATTATGCATATGGAATGATTATGTCAATAGAAAGAAGTCAAAGAAATTATAATTCTGAGCAGATGACTCAAGATGCCTAAATGTGAATAGTTAGTTAGGTTTTCTGGGGCAAAGATTACAGAGAATGATGACATCAAGAGGTTAGAATAACAGAAGTCTATATTTATACTAAATGTTTCCATAAGTATATACAGTTGGGTTCATTAGAATAGTATTGTTTGCTTAGGTTTAGTTACGAATGCAAAAAAGAGAATTACGAAATGCCGTTAATTTCGATTGGGATTCATTTGTTTGTAGGGCTCTTGGCGAAATGCATTGATAATTTATGTATGTGAAAATATAATAAAAGTATTTAACATATGGACATCTTCATCTAGTAAAAATCATTAAAGAATTCTCCTATGACTCTTCTGTGTGTCTTGAATATAAGACCCATTAAGTCAACTCTTCACCCAATTATTGTTTGCAACATTTATACCTAATATACATCAAAATTAATGCATAGAAAGCATTTGCTTTATTTAAATCGCAAATTTCTTATAGCTTCCATCATCAATATTTAATGAACTGAAATTAACACTCAAACGACATCCAAGATAAAAATGTTATCCACTATAACTTTCTATAAAAAAATAGAAGGCAATCAAAAAATAATAATTGCTAACAAAAAATTTACAAAATTTCTAAAATAAAATCTATCTCTATCAAAAATAATAAAAATCGTTTGCCAACAACTTCTCGCATTACGAAAATAATCGTTAACAATAAATTAAAAATTTCTAAAATTAAAACTGTCAATAAATGATTTTCTAACAAGTTATAAAATAATAAAAGCGATTCTCCAACAACTTCTTCGCCTCTTACATAAATATCTAAAGAACTTTAATTGACATACAAAATTATAGATTATAGATTCTTTTTCTCACATTGCTGGGTAGAGCTAATTGCTGGTTATCTAACTAGCTGTTCATCGGCGTCAGCGAGGGCCACAGCAACGGTTACAAAATCGAAGCGTCTGCTATAACTGGATAGCGCTACCGTTCATTATGTTTT